TCTCTGGCTTAATCCTAATAAAGAAGTAAACAATTTACATTCCTATCCATATATTATTTCTCCATTTTGCTACTTTTATCACATCTTTAATAATCTGATATGAAAAGATTCTAAGTATTGGGCAGTGTTTTTCAAGTTTTTAAGAATTCATGATCCATAATAACATTTGATATTATTTCACACACACACACACACACACACACACACACACACACACACACAGTTGAAAACAAAGATTCAACCTTTCTCCATGTGATAGATTCCAATATGTTCTAATTGTTTTATTTCACTTTAAGAGATGTAGGTGTTGACTCTCTAAGCTTAGGGACAACTAATAGGTTGAGATTTGTAGTCTGAAAAACAGTTCAAATTGTACTAATTTATTTTTAAAAAGTCTTTCTAAAATGAGGCTCTCTTTTAATACACCGTTTTACTGAGGCTATAAGAGAATGGAAAGACATCTGTTATGATAATGGCAGCATCTATCATGTAAACACGCCCCAGCAAGTTGTGCAGAGAAACAAAAGAGAAACATCAACAGCTCTGTGTAATCCTCTTCCCATTTACCCAAATTGTATACTGTTTCTTTTGCACTGTAAAAGTTATACAAACTTACACTGCACCTTCTGATCCCTCCGTCTGCTGGTCAGATTTACTACTATGAAAGGCTAATCCCATTTGTAGTGTTTTCAGTTGGCAGTCATGAATGAGAGCACAGGGACACTCTTCACACTCCTTCCCTATTCTTTTACCTCTGGTCCTTTGGCCCACCCCCCACCCCCACCTCGCAGCCAGCCCTGGGCACCTGGTAGATGGGAACTAAGGCATTTCACAAGGCAGCGTGGGTTGGTAGTGGTAGGGACTGGGTGATGTAGTGCCACCACCTTAATGCTTTTAGTGGCATCCAAAGAATTTAGTTGTACAGGGTGTGGAGCTGTTATATAGCTAAAGTGAAATGATACGGGTGAGTCTGTTATGGAGGATGGGAACTAATCCTCAGTTATGTTGTATCTGAATTTATATTAATAAGTGATTTCAACACAGTGAGCTAAAAGCACATTCTCTAATAAAAGAGCTGAGCACATGTAGAAAGGGTTGGACTTTTTGATTCTCTTCAAGGAGGTGCAGAATGTAAGAAAAGATTAACAGCGTACCTTTCACTGGACTTTCCAGTTTGGGTAAAAGCAGAGGATTTTATTTTATTTATTTTTTGATGATGATACTGAGATGAAATCTAGGTTGCAAGGGCTAGGGTTGATATTCCTTGGGCTAGAATCAGAATAAAAAGTAGCGGGTTGTCAGAATCTTACTGTCTCCCTTAAAAATTAGCAGCTGCCATAGCCTCAAAGTTTGTGTTAAATAGTTACCTCCAACCATGGCATTAGGAGGTGAGGTCTAGGGGACGTGATTAACCATAAAAGCTCTGATGGGATGAGTGCCCTTATAAAAGGGACTCCAGAAAGCTACTCTGTGCTTCTACCATGTGAGATTATAGCAAGACAGCTGTGTGTGAACCAAGGAACTGGGCCTCCCAGAGGCTGAGTCTGCTGGCACCTTGAATTAGACTTGCCAGCCTCTAGAACTGTGAGAAAGGGTTTTTTAAAAAAAGTAATGGGAACTGGACCCATCCAATGGGCACTGGATCATACAGGTTAAGCATTTTACTATAGCACTTTTTGAGACAGGGTCTAAATTGTCTAGGTTGCCTTAACTTGCATCCTCCTGCTTCAGCCTCCCAAGCAGCTGGGATAGTGGGTCTGTGCCCCCATGTCCAATACGAAATCAATGTTGTTTGTGAGACACTCAATCTATGGTGTTTACTTAAAGTCTGAAAAGACTAATACAGCAGATCTTGTATTTAGGCAGAGTGACGCAAAAAAGATTATATCCTGATTACAAGATGAAAATAAGCAGAACTGTCAAGAGAAATTTATTACTAAAAATAAAGCAAGTGAAGTTTTTCTCGGGCGTGCTGTCACCACGGGAACCTCCATGATGAAATATATTATTTTCTTTATTTCCAAATTGCTGCCTTCTCCTATATATTCCAAGTTAAAAACACTCCTCATGATGAAGATGAAGAGGCTCTGACCTCCGCTTGCTCAGTCTGAAGACTGGACTGGGCTACACTGTGCTGGAGACTCGAGGTGCTGCAGATGCGTCTCTACCAGGGGTTCCTGGGTTAGGAACTCAGGCTCATAAGAAGCCACAAAGGCTGCAGGCTGCAGCTCAGGGAGATCCAAGGATCCTGGAGAAAACAATTCCTTAAGTTTCCCTGCTGCCTGTGAATCTCAGCAGTGTTTTGTCAAGATACACACATGTGGCCTTTTAATTAACATCCTTGCTTCTGTCAGCCCAGTTTTGCCCTTGGTTGCTAAATCATGACATTCACCTTGACAGTGAAGAAAACTAAAATAGATAAAGTGATTTGCCTATAAGAGAGCACACTTATACTTTATGTGACTCCAGTGCTGGAACTCATCATTCTACCCATTTGTGGGAAGGAACCTGTGCCAGTGCCACAACCTGAGACTTCTAACTTCACTATTATAGTGGAATAGTGAAATGCTATTCCACTTATAGAAAGCTTTCCCGTGTTCCAGTTAGGTTTTACTTAGGTTAGAGAAAGAGGCATGACTGTTTTTGAGGGGCCCCACCTTGCTAGGATCACAGGTGCTCCCCTTATCTTCTACAGTGTGGTGTCCTAGGCAGGCTGCACTCCCTCCCTCCAATTCTGCACTCTTTGCTGCTGGAGCAGTAAAGATTTCTATCACTTACTGCCCAGCTACTTGGAGTACCCAGCAATGTGTGAAGGAGGTATAGTATTTTCAAACCAGAAGGGCAAAGTTAAAAGGTACCCAGCAGAATGGGATCATGATGCTCATCGTCAAAGGTCTGTCTCTGAAAAGCTTCAAAGCTGACAGCTGCATCATTCTCTGGTGGTTCGTGGGGTAGTTGCTCCTCTCCAGGTTTGCAAACATCAAATTTTACCCACTGGTAACTGCAGGATCAAAGGGAAACATTTTTGAGGTTGTCTGTTAGCCTGTAATACAGCACCTCTACCTCCAAAGGGATCAGGTTTTTTTAGGCCTCTTATATATACATCTAGAAAACATTTTTTTTGGTTTGTAAACAAATAAGCTTTTATAAAATACATGTTCATATGTCTCTAAGTATGCATATGTTTACATATACATTATAACATCAAATTTAAAGTCATCATTTGTACATAGAATATGAGGTGTTATAATATTATAATATATAGATGTTATAATATTAGGTGTTATAATAATACTAGGTGTTATAATATTATAATATAACTAGGTGTATTAATAACTAGTATTAATATTAATACTAGGTATTATAATATTATAATCAAAACTAGTAGGAAACCCCAATTAAAAACCTGTTAATAAAATATTTTAGCAGGCTACACTTCCCCATAGTAAAAGCAAAACAAAATCAAAATTACATAAATACCTTACTTGGAAGTGAGACATACACTTTAATTTACCTTGTTTTATTAGAAGATACTATAGATTAGGTTCAAAGACAATGGCTTACATATGTCAATATTGTTTCTAGTAAAGACTACAGATACATAATTCAGTTATTTGCAAGAGATTTACTGAAAAACACAGAACACATTCTAGGAGATCTCTGTTGGCAGTGTATTTTCTGGAAAACACATTAAGAAATATTGACATCAAATATTTCATTTGTGTACATATCTCCATTGTATGAGGAATTTTCACAAGTTTTTCAAAAAAGCTTACATATATAGGGTCACTCTCCAATGTGACATCTTTCATGTAGTTGATAAATGTCTTCAATCAATGGTTCCCCCACATTGTTAATATACATAGGTTTCCTCCCCATTGTGAGATCTATGTAAATAAAATGAGGACATACTAGCAAATCTTTTTCCACATGCCTCATCTGCATATGGTTTCTGGTTTGTTTCGTGTATTTGTCAAGATTGGTGTGTAGTGAATACCTTCCCATATTTGCAGATATGTTTCTCCCCAGTGTGAGTTCTTTCAAGGCTTTTTAATTACTTATTGTGAATACTTTTCCACATTGCTTGAACACATAACAATTCTTCCCACTGTGTATTCTTTCATGTTCTTGACAGTATCAGTGTGTAGTGAATGCCTTCCCACATTGCCTGTGCACATAAGGTTTCTCGCCAATGTGAAGTCTTTCATGAATTTGACAATGTTGGCGTGTAGCAAATGCCTTCCTGCACTGCTTATGTATATATGACTTCTCCAGTGTAACTTTTCTCACGTATTTTACAACTACACCTTATGCTGAACACTTTTACACATTGCTTGCACAATAAGGGTTCTCCCCAGTGTGAGTTCTTTCATGTCTTTTATAACTACATCTCATAGTGAATGCTTTTCCACATTGCTTGCACACATAAGGTTTCTCTCCAGTGTGAATTCTTTCATGTATTTGACAACCATTGTGTGAAGCGAATGCCTTCCCACATTGCTTGCACACATAAGGTTTCTCTCTAGTATGTGTTCTTTCATGTATTTGACAAGATCGGTGTGTAGTGAATGCCTTCCCACATTGCTTGCACACATAAGGTTTCTCCCCTGTGTGAATTCTTCCATGTATGTTAGCGTAAGTCTTTGTAGTGAATGCTTTTCCACATTGCTTGCAAACATAAGGTTTCTCTCCAGTGTGAGACCTTTCATGTCTTGTATAATTACTCCTTATAGTGAATGCCTTCCCACATTGCTTGCACACATAAGGTTTCTCCCCGGTGTGAGTTCTTTTATGTCTTTGACAAGACTGGTGTGCAGTGAATGCTCTCCCACAGTGCTTGCATACGTAAGGTTTCTCCCCTGTGTGAATTTTTTCATGTATTTTAGAATATTTCTTTGTAGTGAATGCTTTTCCACATTGCTTGCACACATAGGGTTTTTCCCCACTGTGAGTTCTTTCATGTATTTGACAATAACTTTGTCTGGTGAAAGCTTTCCCACATTGTTTACATACGTAAGTTTTCTCCCCATTATGCGTACTTTCATGGCTTTGACATTGAGTGCGTCCGCTGAACGATTTCCCATGTTGCTTACCTATACAGGGTCTCACCCCAGTGTGACTAGTTTCATGTCTTTGGCAACAACTGTGTGTATGAAATACTCTTCCGCACTGCTTACATGCGTAGGGTTTTTCTTCCATGTGAATGCTTTCAAGAATTTTACAAGTTTGAGTGTTGAGGGTTTTTCCATATTGCCTGCATACATATAGTTTCTTCCCAGTGTAAATTCTTCCATGGATTTGAAAACCACTGGGGGTGCAGGAGTCTTTCACACTTTTCTGACCAACAGTGGTCTTCTCTCCAGGGTGAGTTCTTTCACTAAGTTCAGAGGAGGATTTTCCACACTGCTCATACTGATAGGGTTTCTCTCCATTCTTTGTCCTTGCGTGCTTCTGAAAGGATTGGAAATCACTGCTGGTTTTGCCATGTCCATTACATTTGCTCAGCTTGTCATCAAATCCCAAATGCTCATGTGGCTTCTCTCCGGGGTGAGATAAGATGGACATATTTAATAAGTGCCCTGTCAGGGGCTCTCTACAAACAAGACTTCTAGCTGGCTTTACATCAGCTTCTTGCATGTCCACATTAGCATGTGGAGTTTGAAGGAGTATGTTTTCCTGTTGATTGCAAGTTGTATATTGATAGAATTTTGCTACCTCTTCATTTCTGTTAAGAAACAAAATATCAATGATAATAAAAAGGTCTCTGTATCAGTAATTTTCTAGGACAATTTCAGGCTTGATGCCTACTAAGAAATTTTCAGAGTGAATAGGCTGAAAGCCATGCAGGATGCTTTTGAGAGGTGTATTTAATGCATTTAACATTGTGAGGTAAAGTACCATCTTTTTTTTTTCCATCAGAAGATAATGATATTTTTTTGGCTGAATATAGAGCTTTTTCTTTTAGTGCTGAGAATTAAACAAGGGTTTGAGCAATAAAATACATTTTTCTTTTTTTTATTTCTTATTTTAAGACAGATTAACAGTGATCATTCATTTGATCAGTGTAACTTCATGCTGTCATCCTGCTGGCTCAGCTTATCAGAGAGCCGTGCTTTTAAGAAGGCACCAACATGTTGAGCCTATCCCACATTCTCCTCTTCCATGCATACAATGACTGCTATCTAGTCCGTTACCAGAGATTAGTTATTGTGAATTATTTCCAGGACTTAGCTATTGTGAATACCCATGCATACCCTGCTTTGAGCTTCAGTAATAGGTATCACTAAGATATGATACTTTTAAATACTTTCAGAGTATACATAGGGGGTTTTGCCTGGATCAGATACAAACTTTTGGGCTGGGGATATAGCTCAGCGGCATAAATGCCTGTCTGGCAAGCCCAAGGTTGTGAGTTTGATTCCTGGAACCAAAATTTTTTAAAAAAGCAAACTTTTATTTTTTGAGACATCTGTGCATTGAATATAAAAATGGTTCTGTTTTATATTCTTACCAGTAATGTTTCGGGGTGGATTCTAAGAATTTTAAAGTATGAATGCACATAGCTCCCTGGAGGATGTTTTCATACATGTAATAATATACTAACAACATACATATGGATTTTGAATGCTGCTTTCTGGCCGGCAGTTTTTTAGATAATGTATATCTCATATTCATTTATATACATAAACTTGAAACCTGATAAACTTGATAACTTGAAGATGAGTTCCTGCCAAAGTTCAAGATTTATTCTTTTCAGATATGCCTGTACACAATACCTAAATGCAACATCATACATTTTCTTGATGTTGATCATGAATTTTTTTTTTTATACAAATGTATGAGATAATGTTTCTTGTGGCATAATGTCTCTAACTTAGTTTGCTACACTGAAATATTTCTGTATACAGTTGTTAAATTATACAAAATCAGTATGTATGCATATTGGAAAATTTTTGTGACATTAAATAAATTTGAAATTGGCCTGATTTATAAAGTTTCCTTGTAGTATTTCTGCTTACATACAGACTCTTGAGAAGTATTGCTTTTCCTTATGACTGGAAATTACCTCAAATTTCTTGAGTAATTTTTGTATTTGTCTTCCATTTGCTGGTTATCCCAAGTTCTTCCTATAGCATTTATATTCCTAAATGTTTCTAACATCACATCTCTATAGAGTTTCTTTTGAGATGGATTCAGCATAGCCCACTCCTCCTTGGTGAAGTTCACAGTTACATCCTCCACGGTCACTGCCTCCATTGCGTGGCTTGAAGGTCTCCAAGGACTCTTTGAATGCAGCTCGCAGCCAGTAGAAATTACAGAAAAAGGCGGTCCACTCAGAGGGGGGCTCTCAGCAATGCACTCATGGTGCCCACTGCGCCGCCATAACACAGGAAGTCTAGAAAACATATTAAGTGAAGGGGAAAAAAAAAACCCAAAAGAAAATAGGCAGGCCTCTTTCATGACACATTATTCTGCTCGACCTGTTTTTTGCTGTTATGGCACACAAAATGATACAAGTTAAGCATCCCTAATCTGAAAATCCAAAATTCAAAACGCTCCAAAAATCTCAGTATTTCTTGAGTGTCCACATAAAGCCACAAGTAGAAAATTCCACACTTTGTATGACAGGTCACAGTCCAAATGCAGGTGCACCAGGGTAAAATTACCTTCAAGTTATGTGTATAAAGGTGTAAATGAAACATAAATGAATTCTGTGTTTATACTTGGGTCTCATCCCCAAGATACCTCATTAATACAAATATTCAAAACCTGAAATATTCTGGGTCCCAGGCATTTTGGATAAAGGATATCCAACCTATAATAATTATAGTACCGTGGGGTCCTGGCTCTTGTTCAACTGTCTAGAGTTATACTGAGATGTATTTGTTGAAAAACCAACATGCCTTGGATATAGTTGTTCCATAAATGTATGAATGAATAAAGTAGTAACGGTCAGTTTAGGCTCTGATTGGCTGATCACTGAACTTCTTTCAGTGGAAGAAGTTCTGCTACACCATACTTACTTGACACACTTTCGAGCTCCTGGACAACTCTGTATCAGATTGAGGATGGTTGGATGAGAAAAACCAAAAAAGTCAGCTCCTGATGGAAGCAGGTCAGGCATTAGTTTCCCCCTAGAGAGGAGAGGGAGAATATGAGCTTAAGAGCTAAGAGGGAGATGAAGATGAGTTTAAGAATGGAATGGTGGTCTGAACACAGGCTAAGCTTTCTTGACTTACTCTGGAGATTCTAGCTTCTAAGATGTCTAAAAGATTCAGGATAGGTCTCTACAAAAAAGGATCTTTTCACTAAAAATGAGAGATAAGGTCTACATTAATCTTTTAGCCTGTCTTAAACCTACTGGTCAACTTACACAGTAGCACTGATGGTCCTGAGCAGTTCTTCATGACAACCATCTGCAGAAGAGCTAACGATAGCATTCTGGGGGTCATCTTCAGGAACAATTTCAAACTGAGGACAAAAGAACAATGAGATGAATTTGCAAGGAGGAAGAAGCAGAGTCACGTGACTTCTACAAATACTTCTTCACTTTAAAACCATCTTGAAGCTGCTGTATAGCACACTAGAAGATGGGCACAATTTCCTGTTAAAACAAACAAGGAAACAGAGACAGGCCTCTATTTCAGTGTTACACTTCTTGGATAACTGTTTTCTTCCATACCCTTTCTTATCCATTTACTTATGTCATTAAGCTCAAATACAAATGCTATTTTGAAAACAAATGAGATCACCCTCCATGTCCAATGGTATGTTTTTTGTTCCCATTTGCGTATTTCTCTAAGAAATACAAGATTATCTAGAAGTACTGTATTCTGGATCAAAGGATGTCTTTCTTAAAATTGTTGATATTGCCAAATTACTCTACAAAAGGATACCAATTTTCACTCTTACTAACATGTACTTGCTTTCCTATACCCTACTCAAGATATCATCAAGCTCTTGCCTATGGGAAAAATTAAGGCCTCACTGTTTTATTTGACTGCTTTTTATCTTATTCTATAGGCACACTTAGCTGAATATTAATCCCTTGCCATGTATTTTCTTCCTGTTTGTTGCTCCTGTTTGTTGCTTGGGTATTAACTCTGATTATGATGTTTTTTATCGTTTAGAAGTGTTTAAATTTTTAGTAGTCAAATCTGTTGTTTTCCTTTATGGGTTCATGTCTTGCTAAAGCAAATCTTTTCACCTTACCCTAAGATTTTAAAAAGTTCCACATTTTCCTTTAATGTTTATAGTATAAAACATTCTGTAAAGTTAAAGTGATTAATTCACATTGGCACTTATAGACAAATCAAGGAAACAGAATCATCTGGGAACAGATCCAAATATTACATATGTTTAATTTGTGTACTAAAGTCAGTTGATGTTAGTTGGAAAAAAATTAAAGCTAAACTCCTAGTTTGGAAAATACCTACAAATATTGTCTAGTTAGGTTAGTTACCTAAAAATGAAACCTGAAAGTCTCACAGATTCATTTTCAAAAATGTTTTGGCATTTTGTCTTTCAGAGGAAATTAAGAATCAGCTTATCAAAAAAAAAATCAGCTTATCAATTTTCGTTAAAATTCCATTAAGATTTTGATTAGATTTGCACTGCATTTACAGATTTGTCATAAATGTGGTGAATCTGCTTAACAGCAGTCTTTCTGTTTGAGTGCTTTCCAAAGAGAACTGCTATAGAACCCAGTCATGGGAACTCTCAGCTCTATATCTAAAGTACTCTAACGGACAACAATGCAATACCGCCCAGTGTGTTAGGCAGGCTCAGGTTCTCCTAGTATCTGTGCAATGGTTCCTCACCTTGCCTCTACCTCTTCCTATCCGATCTGTAACTTCATTAGTAAAGTTTGGAACACTGAAAATGGTCTAATTTTTCCTAAGGATCAAGAGGTGAGGAATGGGGAAATGAACTGTGTAGTATCTTACACTATGAAGGATGAAGAAAGGTATCTAACAAGAGTAGGATTTGGGACTCCCAGGTCCTGGAGTGCATACGTAGCCTCTTTTGAGTATGCAGTCTCTTTCCTACCTCCACTTTGGTTCAACTTGAAATGGCAGTGCATTAAACTAATCTTCCCTGAGCCTACACTTAACATAAGCAGGGTTGATCTGGCCTTATACAATCATAATATGGACCGCAGAATTAGCACAGCTCACAGGCATCAGTCTGAGAATCAGACAAATGTAGATTCATATCCCAGTTGAAGATGTGACTTATGGCTAGTTGATTTTTCTGCATCTGAGGTTACACAAATGGCAATTATATGGTATGTACCTTGTGTCAGAACAGGTAACAGCCATATAGTAAGTGGCTGGAACAAAGTTCTCAAACAAAAAAAAGTGGTTACATTCAAATAAGTACCTGAGGCTTCACACCACCATCCTTGATCTGACAGGTATACAGACACATCTGGTCTGGGTACTTCATGCTGGCGTACACTCGAGTACTGCTGTAGCCCACGGGGTAGATGGCACTCTCATCATGGAAGCCAGGTCGGTCGGTGATGATCTATAAAAAGATTCCCCCAACCTGGGATTGAGGGACTGAAGGATTCACATGCCCAGTTTATTGTGGTAGCCTTTAGAGCCACTTTGAGGCTGCAAAGAGTGGCTGAAATTACACAAAAAGTATCTGCCGTATACCAGACAAAACTGACCTGGTTTTATAGGGACTGGAGTCTTTCTGGGGTTGGTATGGGTCAGCAGGAGCTGTTGCTAATAGGAACAGGGAGGGAAGGCTCAACCCCATTACCATGTTTCTCTCACTCTCCTCTCTGCACGTCGCTGGTCTCACTCACCTCCCCCAGGCTATACACTGTTAGACCCCCTAGTCCGATGGGAAACACAGGCCGTCCAGAGGGATCCAGAGCAATGGGCTGGACCAGCTTGCGAGCACCTCCCTCCATTTTCTTTTTCTTGGATGTTTTCTTCAGAACTGAAACGCAAATCTGGGGTCACCCACTTTAGCCCCCTCTCAATGCTGAGGGGAAGGGAAAAATTTACATGTGAATACTAAGGACAATAAGCCAATCTTTTTTTTTTTTTTGGTCTTTTTTGAAACAGGGTCTCGCTATGCAGTTCAGGCTGGCCGTGAGCTCACTTCGTAGCCCAGGCTGGTCTCGAACTTGCAACGATCCTCCTGCCTCAGCCTCCAGAGTGCTGGGACTACAGGCGTGCGCCACCATGCCTGGCAATCATGGTTTTATATACAGATGGTCTTCAACTTGCAATGCTGTTAGGTAATGATAAACCCATCAGAAGTTGAAAATGCTGTAAAATGAAAACGCATACAATATACCGAACATCATAGCATAGCAAGAGTATTTCGCCTTGTGGTCCTGTGGCTGAGTGGGAGCTGCAGTTCACTGCCGTTTATCCAGCAGCACAACAGAGTAGCATCAATACCCCAGGAAAAGATCAACACTCAGTACAATTTCCACTGAATGCAAATCACCTTCACACCATTGTGAAGCTAAAAATCATTCAGCTGAACCATTGTAAATTGGGGACCATCTGTATTCACTTAAAAGGCATATGGGCTTCTCCCAGAAGCTCTGAGTATCTTTGTAACTGCCCACAGGCAGTAACCAATTCCAATGTTAGCAGCAGAAGCTAAAAGCCTTACAGTTTTAAGTCCTCTTTACTTGAAAGATCAGAAATTTCCCAAGCTAGTAGTGTGCTCAAGAGGTCACCTAGCCCATTTCCCTGCCTCTAGAAAACACTGAAGTGAGTGCAACCCAGACATACTGGTGGAAGAGGGAGAGAGGAAGCCTTAGCCTGCTCCCTTTGCATTTAACCAGATCTCACTACAATCTTTCCTCCCAAAGTGACTCTATAAGACACTTGCGTTGCAAGGGCCTTTACGAGAATTATGAGACTTAAGTGTGCATGTGGCCACATGTGGCTAACAGTGCCATGTATTAGTCACCGTAGTTGAGCCCCTGGGGCAACTGATATACCGTCTCCCCAAAGTACCTTCCAGTTTGTTGTTCTCTTTGCCTTTTTCCTTTTTGTCCTTCTTGGATTTCTTCCCAAATGGCTCCTCAGCCCCAGTGCTGGGCCCAGCTCCCTGTATACTTCCCACAGAGCTGGCCACACCGTAAGTCAGGGGCAAAGTGGAGCTGTGGGAAGGAGCTGCAGCCTGTACGTCCCCCTCAGTTAGAGCCTGAAGTTGGAGAAGCTTCTTTAGCAAGTACCTGGGGTCAGGAATGAAAGGCAGCAGAGGTATGAAATTCGGTTTTGTTGCTAACTGCCCAGTATTTTCTCAAGTACTGGGAAAAGCCAAAGATTATCGCACTGATAGAAATATGACTCGTATTGAATCTTGGGAACATGAAGAGGGTAATCAATACTTCAAGAAGCCTCTCTTGCCTCTAGAAGGGTCCTCTACCATGAGGTGGGGAAGTGTTAAGTACTGAGAGGCATATATTATGAATCAGATGTATGTGTACCCACTGTGCTCTGCCTTGAGAAGTACAGACTAACTATTCACAGCATGAGCAATTCTTTTATAGTTGGCTTCTTAATAAGATTATTTATTGGATATGGTAAGAAGGCTTTGTCAGAAAGATAAGAGGAGCTGTCTCATTACCATGGTCCAACATGACTTGAATATGTGTGAATTTACTCCAAAGCTTTTGAGTTTCACTTTACTTGAACTCAAAATGAAGCCACCTCACCTTCTTTCTTCTTTTGCTTTAAGGAATTTCTCCTCAAGACGAGCAATTTCATCACAAATAGCAGCGTTTTCCTTTAAGAATAATTTTCAACATAATCACATAAAATGAATAAAAGATCAAGGTACTGAATTGGGAGAAGGACCCATACTTCGAACCAAGAAAGTCTATGTCATTGGAGAAGGGAGGGCTAGTCTACCTTGCAGACAAGATATAAATAAATCTATAGGGAAAGACAGTTACCCTGCCTGTAGTAAGTCTTTCTCAAGTACTGGGAAAAGCCAAAGATTAGTAGTACTCTGAAAGACTTACTACAGGCAGGGTAACTGTGTAATTTATGATCCAATCTGTGATACCTGTTAGTGAAAAGGGGACACTATTATTGCTTATGCCAGAATAATATAGCAAGCCAGGATTGTGCTGGGTAAACTAAAATGTATAGTCACCCTGATTAGGGTGGCCTTTGGGAGAGAAAAAGAACACACTACTTAAATTCATAGTAGTATGTAACTATGAGGACTGTCCATGTGGAAGTGCCCTGATTTTTGAGAAACAAAGACAACCTTACCCAAAGCGACCCATATAACAGCACTTTCGGGTAAAAAACTAGATGAAACAAAATAAAATCTAATGTGTAAAATTCTTAAGCTTCACAAACTTGTGTACATTCAAATATCCTTTTCTTTTTTTCCTGATGAATATTTCATAAGCACCAGCCCTGAAGGAAATGCTCTGTTCTGGATGCTCAAATTGAATGGAACTCAACTTGAATGTTCAAAATGACATCCCTTTTCTTCACAAAATCGTATTCACATACTTGAAGGAACTGATATCCTTATGTTATTTAAAAACAGACTGCAAGCTTTTGGTACCTTTGACACGTAGGGGGATAAAAGAAAGGAAACAGTCAAAGGTCAAGTCCTCTTAATTCTTATTTTCCTCCAGTGCACATACCACGTGGTGAATAAATGTTTTTGGAATGAGTATTCTAATTTCCAAGCCTTTCCTTATGCTTCAAAACATGCTCAGGAAGAAGAGGAAAACTACAGGTTGAGATGCGGAAAGACACCACAGGAATCCGTCCCTATTTCCAGCAGTGAGGAAGCTTGGGCAAGCCAGGACACAGTGGCACAAAGCTATGATTGGCAGGCCAGTTCATTCATTCAATAAACCTGAGGCCCCTACAGTAAAAGAAAGGAAGGGGCTGCAGGATGTAGCTCAGGAGCAATGCACTCCTCCCGAGCATGCTCCAGGCTCTGGGTTCGATTCCCAGTGCTGTCGAAACAAAACAAAAAACACAAAGCCTTGGAGGACTCCACGGTTTTATCAAGGGGAAATTACTGAAAGATTTCAGGCACGTGTTTAGGGCAAGGAGTCACTTCAGGGGCTGCGGAAAGCTTGGGAAATAGCTGTGTAGTGGAAATACGTAATAAACTGGAATCGAGGTATCTAAGTTGGCCTCGGGGCTCTGACACAGAACCCTAAAGCAAATCACACATCTGGGGTTCAGTTCTCCCATTTTAAAAACAGTGCCGTATTCACAGGTTATCTTGAAAATCATTGCATTTCTGAAGTAATTGCGATAATGACCCAAACGTACTGGCTGATCTAAGTACCGAGGACTTTTTTTTATCCTTTAGTCGTCTGCAAGGTAGTCACTCACTAGCTCCATTTCCAGACGAGGAAACAAGATTAGACAAATTAACTTGTCCAAGGACCCAGGGCTAACAAGTAGTAAAGTACACCGAAAAGCTGACACTATTCAATACTGTCCCTCTGGGGAGGGGACAACTTGGCGAAAGACCTCGCTAGAAAGCAGTCTCGCGGCGGAGACTGGCTGAGCGACCAGCAGACTCACAAACACCGTGGCCTTTGCCGCTTTGCGCAGCCGCAGGTACTTTAGCCGGTACTTCTCGTTCTGGCTCTTCTTCGGGAGCTTTTTCATCCTGGCCTTGCTGGGCTGTAGCAGGGCTCGCGCTCGCGGCGAGGAGGTGACACCGCCCAGCAGGCTCATAGTCCGGCCCCAAGGCGGGGGCCCCAGGACGCGGCCCGCATTGGCTCCGAGGCCGCGAGGGGCGGAGGCGGCGGCTTTGTCTGCTGTGGGTTGGCGGAACCTGGTCTCTCGCAAACTAGCTCTCCAGGAAGTCCCCAGAGCGGACTGTAGGACCAGAATTCCTGCAACCAAACTGGGCTCCGGCGCTTGCCAGCACTTCCGCGTCTGTCTCGGAAGTGAGCCCCGCCGGAAGTTACGTAAGGACGCAGACCGCGGTAACGTCCGGGTTTGGGAGGCTAGGGAGCTTGTGGTGTTGTGGGTCGGTAGAGTCGGGAAGAAAGCGTGGGCTCGCTGAGAGCCGAGAGCGGCGGAGGGACGAGAATACTGTACTTCTGTGGGCCTCGCGGAGGATTATTGTTGCCGCAAGGCCCCACTAAATAAAACTTTACCAAACTAGCTCTTGTTCGCGCTCTTACAGGACCTAGCGTTTCGACACCGTTTTCACACTTCGTGCAGACAGACCCTGGATTGTCGGAAACACTCAAACGCCACTTTTGGGACTGCTTATTTCCTTTGCGCAAATATTTGTTATGTTGTGATCCTGCTAGGAGCTGGGTTTAGCATAGTGAATAGCAAAAAAGGCCTTGGTTCTTTGATGGTTTAGAATCCAGTAGGGAAGGTTTAGATTGAAAAAGCAGTCTTGGTAGCACAAAGTAGACCGTAAATATTTTCCTAGTGAAACCAAGTATATTTCTGTACCTAAACTTATATTTTTATAAGGACTTCATTGGAGGTTTTTATTTTTACAGTTACAAAAATGTTCCTGCAAGTTTTAGAAATTTAGAAAATATAGGAGATTTAAACAAATTCCATAGGGTTGGGATTGTATCTCATTCATACAGCACTTTGCCTGAGTTTGATACTCAGCACTGATAAGAAAGAAAGAAGAAGAGGAAATTATGGAGGTCGGATCACAGTTAAATAAAAATTTTGATTCCCAGCACCAAAAGAAAAGGAAAAACCCAAACTAAATACTCTCCCAAGCCCAAGACAACCCCCTATAAGCCCTCCAAAAACTTGGCACAAACTACTTTTAATATGTTAGCATGTGTTTATATTTTCATGTACTTTTATGCAGGTCAAACTCTACTGAATAAGTTTCTGGTTTGTTTTCTTGTTTCATTTGTCATTATCATTTTACAGTGTTAAGACTTTGAAGGCATAATTTAAAATGGCTGGTCAATACTCTAGTTATAACTTATCTTATTTTGCATAATTATTTCCATGTTGCTTGACTATTTGATCAACTGCTGTGAGTTTTTGTGTATAAAGCTTTTCCCATATTGGACTACTTAGGGGCTGCAACTGGCGCTCCAAAGAATGTGATGCTACTGAATGACTCATTTTTACTAATTTGTGTAGAATAATATTTACCTAGTGCTTATGGGCACACAATCTTTAGGAAACAATTCGAGGGAAAGACAGACAAGGAAATTGGCAATATTAATACAGTGTAATATTTTTATTTCAGAGGTAGGTTTTACTTGCTATGGGAGTACCCAGTTAGGGAACGGGGTAGGAAATAGGAAAGCTGCTTGAAGGAAATATGCCTGAGTATGCTTGCAAGGAGAGATAACAATTGACCCGGAGGAGAGCATGCTAGGCAGGCAGACAGCTTCTTCCAATGTTTAGCGTCATGAGAAGCATGGGAACTGCAGGTCATTGATTAAAGGGAAAGCTGTGTGTGGAGGGAAGCAAGAGGAGGGACAAGTTTTGAGCAGGGCTTAGGTCTTGAAAGGGCTTCTGTACCAACTGACGAGTTGGACTTTTATTGGCAATAAAAGTCGTTTATGAGTATTGATATATGAGCTTATTGCTTGTTTTTAGGCAAACATCTGAATTTGGCAGAAGCAACATAACTTTTCTACTAATTTATACGTAGAGGGGTCTAAATGGCCTATGCAAACAATTCTCCCGAGAAGTGCATAATGGGTAGCTTTAAAAAGAAATATAAAATGTAAGACAGCGTGGTATTGTGGGCTGACCATATTTTTGGAATCAGATCAGTGCTCCAGGTATAAGGTTGGGAGTTTGCTGTAAGGATGAAATGATAAATGAGGGGAAAGACTGAAGGAAGGGGCTCACTAGCACTTAGTGAGCACCTTTTTTGTGTATTTGTTTTAGTTCTAAGTGATTGCTATCCAGTGACTGGCTGTAAGGAAGGTATAGAGTCCCCTGAGGTATTAAAACATCCTTGGGCTCATTAAAAGTTATGAAGGAGCCCATGGCCCATAATCCCAGCTTTTAGTGAAATGAGTCTTTGGTTTAGATGATGAAAAGTATACCTGGATTTAGATGATGAAAAGTATACCTGGATACCTCAAGACTTCACTTATGGCACTGCATGGCACTTGCCTCTGTTTTCAAACCCCAAGAGCAGACTACAGGTGGAAGCCATCATTATCTCCTCACTCATTTGGCAGGTCACACAGGGCCTGGCAAGACTGATGACTTCCACAAAGCAAAATTGGGCAAATTTTTAGGATTTCAGTTCATACCAAAGGATTTCCAGGGATTTAACATCTATTAATTTCTCACCATGTTGCTCACTTGCTCTTTGAGGTAAGCTAAGTATATACCATAGAAGGGCCATGAGTTGAATGTAGTGAAAACCTGCCTGTATAAACAGCCTTTATAACCCTCTTTTCTTACAGAATTCCTAGACTTTATTTCTGTTTATTTTTAATACCCTTGTAAAATGTTCCAGACATTTAGTTTAGTTTAGTTCCTTGACTTGTATTCCAGGTTTCATATTTATTTCCATGTCTTAGTTATATCTTCTTACAAGTGTGGAATATATAGCTCATCTAAATCCAAGTTTGGCAATTCTGAAGTGAGTATTTTTGTGTATTACTATGTGTGGCTTGTGAAGATGGTGAGAGACTTACTTTGCACAAAATGTCTTACTCCACAGTTTCTTTCTTAACTATGGGTGTTCATCACATACTCGTTGGGTGAGATGTTTAGGTTTTGAGGGTTCTAAGCCAGCCAATAAAGTCATGAAGTCAACCACTGTGTCAATGTTGTGCTTCTGAGTGGTTGTGTCCTTCAGCACACATAAGACACTCAGCCAGCTAAAAGAGATGAGCTCAGAGATGTTGGCTCGGAGGAAAAGAAGAATCACATTGAGGTCATTGATGGGGCATCCGAGCATCTTTCTGCTGAGAAGATCAAAAGCTGGGAGCATCTCATAGATGGATAGGAGGCGTTTGTCCCACCGACATAGTCGTGTGAGGTTGTATATTATCACTGGAACCAATAGGGTGTATACTGCCACACTGGAGAGGCTAACAATCTGGAAAACAGACAGGGAGGTCAGCCTGCATGTGAACAGATCAGGGACATGGGTTTCATCATGCAGCATCCCTGTCTTGATGGAGCAACTGAATTCTTCTTGGAAGAAGATACTCAGATGGAAGTGACCAAGGTACAGGTAAGTGGCTGACGTGAAGAGGAGCAAGAGGGAGTTCTTTAGGAGGTAGGCGGCCACTAGTGAATGTGAGCGCTGCTTACATGCCAGGTACCGCTCTAGCAAGGGAAATTCAAAGTATCGTTCTTTCCGGGCCCTGGGCAGGGGAAGAAAGGAGGCAAGGTTAGGAAGAACAGTTTAGAACTACACCCTGTGAGTCATTTGGGAAAGTAACAGATCTGAATATTCAATAGGATATTCTTGGTTCACATGGAAATCTGCTGTCCTTTCACATGATTTTCCCTCCAAAACAGGTGTGGGAGTAACCTTAACTCTCCAAGTAATAAGTACAGTGTGATAAACCCAGAGAATGATCAATGAGTAGTGCATGGTCACGGAAATTTATGCCCACAAGGCAGACTAAAGTTCTAATCTGAGGAAGGGTGCTTAAGAAGCATTAGGCTTATAAATTAGCTCTACACTGGGAGGCTAAACAAGTACATTTTGATTGTAGACCTGTGTATTTCTGTGTGTGATTTTGGGTTCAGTTAATTCATTTGTATGCTAGTAGATATTTGTTGAGAGCTGTAGTGTTTAGGTACAGATAAGCTGGTCTCTAATCTGGCTTATGGGGAAAAGGTAGATAAGATATGCAAATATGAAATAAAATTAGCAGTTGATTTGTTGCTAAGTTGATGGGTACATACCATAGTAGTTATGAAAGTTAGGAGTTAGAGTAACAGTGGGTTCAAGTGTTCAGAAACATTTATAGAGAATATTGGTTGAAAACTGGGTTTCAAAAGATAAAGAAGTGCTTTTTGAGATGATATACTATGTCCATGAACATGAGACAATCTGATTTCAAAGTTTTGACCTGCTGGTGGGCCCACCCTGGGCCTATTTAAAACAGTAGCACACTCCACCTACTTTCCAGATACCTGTCCTCTGCTTTATTTTTTCTTCATAACACTTATTATATCCAAACATATATTTTCCTTATGTGTTCTGTTTACCTATTGTCTGTTTTTCCTTAAGACAAGGTAAGCATGATGTGTGCAGCTATAACTTTGTTACCTCAATCCCTGTCCCCATGATACACACTCTAATGTATCTGAAACACCCCACAGAGTGTCTAGTACCAAATAAATGAATGACTAGATAGATACATGATTTTTGCTCATGGAAAAAGGAGGAGGTGGAGAAGGTAGGGTAGAAGCTTTCTGTCATCTATTGTAGGTAGAATATTCCCTCTCCAAAATGCTTAGGACCAGAAGTGTTTCAGATTTTGAAGTTTGTTTTGTTTTGTTTTGTTTCAGATTTTGGAATATTTACATAGACTTCAAGGATGCTCAAAAAATTTGGATTTTGTATGTTTCAATTAGGGGTACTCAACATATAGTTAGAAGTTTGAAGGAACTGGGGAGTGGGGTGGCACACACTTGTAATCCCAGCCCTGGGGAGGCTGAGGCAGCATGATTGCCTTGAATTTGAGGTCAGCCTGGGCTACATAGTGAGTTCAAGGCCAACCTGCACTCCAAAGTGAGACTCTATTTCAAAATACCAAGAAAAATGCCAGGGATATAGCTCAGTGGCATAAAGGCCTGCCTGGCAAGTGCAAGGTCCTGAGTTTGATTCCTGATACCAAAAAAAAAAAAAAAAAAAAAAAAATTGGTTACATTATCAACAAAATACCAAGGAAAAAAAAGTTTGAAAGAAGTAGTTGGTGACTACCTTGAAAGCCTTGGGCAAATACTTGGGAGAATTAAGATTTTTTGATAGGCCTGGGGTGGAGGGTACTTGAGGTCTCTGAACAAGGAAATAGGGTATATGGGTGGTATTTTAGAGATTAATCCCTTTGTGGCACAGTGTGTTTATCTGAACTACAAGTAGAGTCCTTTACCCTTTGCAGAAATTACAGAAAATTCATGAAATTATGTGTGAGCGCTTTGCTGTCCTGAGAAGGATGACGAGGATATTTTTTTTTTTTTTTGTCTTTTGAGACGGGGTCTCACTATGCAGATCAGGCTGGCCTTGAACTTACTTTGTAGCTTAGGCTGGTCTCTAACTTGCAATGATCCTCCTGCCTCAGCCTCTCTAGTGCTGGGATTACAGGCATGCGCCACCACACCCGGCCAAGGAGGATAATTTAAAGATTACTCTGCATGGATGCCATCTTAATGCTCAAACAAATGCTTCAGGAAAAGTGAAGAAATAACTTACTTCTCTAGCTCATCCCAGAAGACATGTGGGTCAGAGCTCTTCTGCCGGATCTTCAGCATGTGCTGCACCAGACGGATGGAGCGGTTGTAGGATTTGTCCAGCTCACTGATGATGAATAGCAGGTCCGAGCTGAGGGCTGGCACAGCTGCACACTGCCACAGCAGCACCGGCAGGTACATGGCCACAGCCAGGCCCATCAGGGAGTAGGGGAGGGCCTGCAGGGCAAGAGCTGGCTGAGGAGGGAGTCTGGGGTGCTGCACCTTTAGGGACAGCACTGAGCAAGGGGCACACTTCTCCCTTGGTCCTGCTGTAGGGGGAAAAGTGATATGTGGAATGAGCCAACTAAGACTCTCCTGATGGCAAAGACTATAGAAAGGCCTGGTAGAGAAGAAGTTATAGATCTTCTTGCTCCCCAAATCTGTGATCTATAGTTTTTTTGGTTTATGGGCTGAATAGAGCACCAAGGAGAGGAGCAAGAGCAAAAGTGAGAGAATGAAAGTGTATGGGATGGATATAGGGGAGGGGGAAAGACAGGTAGCAATTGAGAGATTCCCCCATGCACCAGCCTAGTAGCCAGACTGAGGTCCTGGCCAACAGAGGCTATGCATCCCAGAGGATAGAAAAATCCCATTTTTTCTCTTTAGCCTTCCTTGGCTTCTCAGATATACACAGGTTTTGTTTTTTTTGTTTTTTTTTTTTTTCCTGTGCCGGTAATTGAACTCAGGACCTCACACTTGTCAGGAAGGCGCTGTGCCACTGAGCTATATCCCTAGCCTCCTGTGCACTGGTTTTTTCTCATCACTGGATTCTTGCTGATGTTGAACAATGATCTTATTTTGAAATTCTTTGGGGGTTCTTTCAGGTATGTAGATATATAAACTGACTTTTGGTTAGGAATGCATAAGCCTTATCTCTTCAGCTACATTATTAGCATCCTGAGATAAGGAACTGAGATGAGTTGAACTGTGTTTGTGGTTTCTACTCCCACTCCCAATATGTGGAAGCCTTAATCCTTAGTATCTCAGAATGAAACGATAGCTGGAAATGGTGTTGTTATAGAAATAGTTAATTTAAAATGATATGCTAGTAGATTGGGTGGGCTCCTAAACCGGTGTAACTGGTGTCCTTAAACACACACACAACGCATCATTTTACAGTTCAGTGTTGGTTTTCCTAAGGGTTGACAGGAACAGATCCAGGCCCTTCTCTTTGGCTGGTAGGTGCAGCACCCTGGGGGTTCTTCCTGTGTGCACATCTACCTCTTCATAGGGTCTGATATTTTAGGTTTGAAGTGGAGTTAGGGTTTAGAAAGCTTCCTGGTGATCTTGATGATCAGGTATTTTGACTCTCCTGATGTGAATCTGCTCAGTAATATCATGAATTTGTCACTATCCAGGCCCTACTTGAGCTGCCAGTGACAGAGACCTCTGAGCTTTCTCTATCAAGTCTCTGGTTTTGTCTGAGTCCTAGAACTGTAACACTTGGAGGCCGTATAAATTATCATCCCTAGAAAATGCTGTGAGTGACTTTTCACTAAATACTGAACTGAAAATACATATTGTCCCTATTCCCTCATAAAAGCCCACTAAGATGACAGTAAAGAACAAAAAAGGCATACTCTTCCAAAGACAGGAGAGGAGACAAGAGCAGCGAAATGTTGAAAGCTGGAAAGGAGCTGTGTGATAGAAGACAGCGCTGTGCAGACCGGGTGGGGATTTGGGATGGGAAAGCAAGCTATTTGCAACTCAGGACCAGAAAGGCTTCAGACTAGGTGAAAACTTTAGAAAATGAAAGGGTAGTTGGAACTGAAAGCAAGAAAATTGAGAAATATCTGTGAGAGACAGCCCTGCAGATCTTTTCTGGAAGGTGATATACTCCAGCAACCATTCTTTCCTTCCCTAGCCAGGGCCTTGTGGTTTACTCTGGAGACATGGAAGCAGATTAAACTCTGTGCTGAGTCCACTGAGGGCAGAGGAGCCGTGCTGAGGACGCGGCATGATGAGCACTGGTGCATCCCATGACCAAGTTCCCAGAGGCTGGCAGCCTGGCTTACTACCAGCTGCACCCTGGCCTTCCCCACAAATGAAGGACTGAGTGATTTGTTCTTAGAGAAAACCATCTAGCACAGGGAAAAGACTATCTGCCCTTTGTCTCATCAAGGTTTTTCCTAATGAATTAGATAAAAGGGATCACCTTCAATGAAGGCTACATGTCATCAAGGCCCTCCCATAGGCACAGAGCTTCCGATCAGATAAAAGCTGTCAGCCAAGGGTCAGCAGGCATTTGAAGAATGCTTGAAACATGGAAGTAAGTGGAGCAAGGGTGGGGAAGAGGGGAGAGGGAGTAGGATTCAGGCCTGTCCCCTTCCACTCAGTTGGCCTGGTAGAGTGGTTGGGTCTGCTTTACCTTGTGGGGCCAGAGAGATTTTGTCTTGTATTGGCCAGCCTCGTCCTGTTCGTGGTGAACCAGTGAGTCCCAACAGGAACTGTCCACATAAGCAGCCTGCTGCACGCTGAAGTTACTGGGAGCGAAGCAGCTCATCGGAGACCCTGGAAGAGGAGTATAGCTTTGAGACAGACCTGAGGTGGAACGGTGGAAAGGGAACCCAAGGGGCCATCATCTAAGAGATTTCAAGGGGCTGCATTCACAATTCTTTGTTAATTTTTATGTCCAGTAAGCACTATCTTCCCATGCCTTATTTCCAAACCCAGTTTTCTGGGTGTCACAGGAAGGTAGGGCATGACTTGAGAGAGCACCACCAGTTAGCCCATGCCTACAAATGCATTGACAGCATTTTAGGTATGGCGGTACTTCCTTCTAAGAGCATCCCTGGGACAGCCAGGCAGGCAGCCAGTGTGCCCCGCCCCCCCTGCACTCCTGCAGTTTGCGCCAGAAGGTTGGTGGTTTGATGGTGATGTCTCCATGCTGAGACAACTGGCATGTTTTAGATTCTAAAATGTAGAGAATTAATTGCCTGGACTTCTGAGCCCAGCTCAAGCAAAAGAGCAGGTAAGTGGTGCTGAAAGAAGGCAGGCTTGGAGGAAGGTCTCTGCCTTTTTTGCTTTTCCATCATTCTCCAAAAAGGGGCAGAGCTAGGAACCAATACTTTTCCCCCTCTTGTGGGTGAATGTGGAAGCAGTCGATGGTTGATGTGTCTCGCTGGGAAATGTACCAAGCTAAAAGGGAAGAGGACTAAGAGATGGAGGGAGGGGAGGAGAGAGGAAGAGGAGGAAGAAGAGAATTAAGATGTGTTATGTACTCATACCACAAGGAATGTAATCATGATGTATTATCAACGTTACTAGTAAAAAAATAGAAACTAAGAAAAAAAAAAGGATGAAAACCAAAGGTCCCAGTTCTTAGAAAGTTCACATTCTCTTTTATAGAGGTAGTGGATTTGCTGCATTTATCTAGCACCTAAAACACAACATATGTGTGTATATCAATGTTTGTGGCAGGAATTTGTGGATAGGAAGCTGTGGATTTATCCAGCTTCTATTAATAAGGCTGTATCAGGCACTTCATGTATGTTCTCAAATTAGTAACCTTGGAGGTGGAGGTGGGAATAAGGCTCAGAGATGATGAGAGACTTGTTAGCCGTGTGACTAAGACAAAGATGCCTCAGGTCCAGAAAAGATGCTAGGGCCCCACTCTGTCTTACCTATAGGAAAACCAGAATGAAAGGTTCGTTATTGAAGTGACGCAAAATATATGAAATTGACATGACAGCTAGTTACTTTTTTTTTGGTCTTTTTGAGACAGGGTCTCACTATGCAGTTCAGGCTGGCCTTGAACTTGAGCTTACTTTGTACCATAGGCTGGTTTTGAACTTGCAACAATCCTCCTGCCTCAGGCTCACAAGTGCCTGAATTACAGGTATGAGCCACCACACCCTGCCTCAGCTAGTTACTTTTTTATTGTAAAATTTTGGAGGTGATTTAAAAACCATTTTGGCACCTCTATTTTGCTGATGCCTAAACTCATACACAGGTTGCCCCTTGAATAATTTGGCCAAGCATCAGGAAATCTTGTTAGTGTAGAAGCTGTCTTACTCCTGAGTCTGTGCAAGCAGTGCAGTAAAGTGAGGTCTTAGAAGCAACTTACCAGAGGAGAACTCCTGGGCGAATGCCAGGGACATCAGCAACAAGGGAAAGCCTACAGCCACGAACTTGACCATCCTGTCCAGGGGCAGTTCCAGGCGCAGGCCTTTGAGGCGGGAGCCCCTGCGGTCGGGCAGCAGAGCATCAGAGAGCATGTACTCTGCGGCAGTGTGTGCGAGCGACATGATGCTGCCGAGCTTGGGGCTGCAGAGGTGGCAGGAGGTGTCCCGGGATGGTGGGGTGAAGAGATGAGAGCTTCAGGCAGACAGTGCTGCAGCCAAAGCCTTACGGACATCTGTGCTAGGAGCAGGCGGTGGTTCTCTAAATAACTGCCCAGAACCTGAGCCAGGCACCCTGGTAATTAGTGGGTCCTTGCTGGGGGAGGGTCGGGCTTCATGTGTGGCTGGTGCCAGGCTGCCCTCTTTGTATTGATGAAATCCATGGCTTTATGCTGCCCTCTCATTAATAAAGTATTTTCAGCAGGGTGGTGCAGAGAAGGAGGGCTGTGGGGTCAGGCTCCCCGTGTAATTGATGTGGAATTTGGGTGGGGATTGCTTAAAAGTGTTGAGGCCCTTCATTTTGTGGTCTGGGGTGGGAACGGAGCCCCCTGGACTCAGCTCACACTGCTCACTCTACAGAGTGTGCTTGTTCCGTCTCTTTCCCAGAAACTGCTCTGTATTTGATGTTAAATTTTCTGTTCTGATTCTGGTTTTCTTCCCAAACATTTCAACATATTTATAAATTTCCATTTTTTTTTTTTAGCCCCACCAATTCCCTAGAAATCTGGGGACTGTGCTCACTTTTTCATTGTATGATTTCCGGCAAGTTGCTGTGTCTGTTTTCTCATCTCTCAGGTGGTGTTATGTTAGGGTCTCAGGGACTGTGGGATTGAGTATTGTATGTGAAAGTGCTCTTGGGCTGTAAAGTGCAGAGCAAGTACTGTGGTTTAGATAAGTGTCCCCTAAAGGGTCCTGTGTTGATGGCTCAGTCTCCAGCCTGTGGTGCTATTGGGAGGTGGCAGAATCCAGTGGAAGGAAGTTAGTTCCCTGGGGAGCGTGCCTTCAAAGCGGGTATTGGGACCCCAATCTATACTCTCTTTTTTCAGTACTGGATTTTGAACCCAGGACCTTTGCACTGACCTACATCCCTAACCCTTTTTAATTTTGAGTTAAGGCCTTGCTAAGTTGCCTAGGCTGGGCTCAAAGTTGTGATCAACCTCCATGGTCTTTCTCTTTTGCATCCTGGTGCCATGAAGCGAGCAGCTTCTTCTGCCATGTGATGTGCTGTGCTGCTACAGGCCCAAAGCAATAGGGCCCAGTGACCATGGACTGAAATCACGGGCCAAAATAAGTATCTTCTCTGATTAAGTCGATCATGTCTGGCATTTTGTCACCACGATGGAAAGTGTAACACAAATATCTGTTCTTCAAATTGGTGGGTTGGATGAGAGAATAGGGCATTCTTGTCATAGGTATTGTCTTTACATTTGTTATTAGATGTCCTTAACTGGCCTACATGCTAGTTCCCTTTGGCTGTATCCTTCCCATGAGGCAAGGAGTCATAGGCCTAAGGGACGTGCCCATTTTATACCTGCACAGACCCTGTGCAGTGTGGGACCACCCTTGTGGCACAGAAGACTATGGAATTCCTGCCCACGTGGCTTTAGCCTGCTTCTGGGACCTGTGTGGGCCATTTCCTTAGGTATATCCTCAAGACTGTGCTGCTGGGCTACACTCCCAGGTCTTAGGGTACTCAGATGTAGGGGTTTGGGATGGAATTTAGAAGCCCTGGGGTATCTGCGTACAACTTAGCTGGAGTTGTTTACTGTGTGCAAATTAGCTGGGTTCGGAAGAAAAGACTCTTGGGTTGGGAGCCTGGTAAAACATAAAGATTTTAAATTTCAATCCGGTATTCCTGACAAATGGCAAATAAATACATTAGAAAATGTTCAACATCATTAGTCGTTTGAGAAATGCAAATTAAAACAAACAACATTGAGATTCCATCTCACCCCAGTAAGAATGGCTAGTATTAAGAAATCAACCAATAACAAATGCTGGTGAGGCTGTGGAGAAATAGGAATCCTTCTCCACTGCTGGTGGGAATGCAGACTGGTGAAACCACTATGGAAATCAGTTTGGAGATTCCTCCAAAAGCTAGGTCTAGAGGTCCCATTCAACCCAGCTATCCCCCTGCTGGGTATTTTCCCAGAAGAACTAAAAACATCATATCACAGTGATATATGTGCACCTATGTTCATAGCAGCACAATTTGTAATTGCTAAATTATGGAAGCAACCCAAATGTCCATCCACTGAGGACTGGATAAAAAAATTGTGGTACTTTTATATAATGGAATATTAGTCAGCTATAAAGAAAGATAAACTGGAGGCTTTTATAGATAAATGGTCACAACTAGAGACCATACTCATAAGTGAAATAAATCAGACCTGCATGTGTAAGCACCGCACTGTCTCACTAGCGTAAGACCTGAAAGAGTTAATAAAAACTAGGAGGTACAATAGACATTGTGAAAGGAAAGGAAAATGCTCAAAAGTAAAGGGCAACAGGGGTGTAGGAAAAGAGAAGGGAAAGAAGGGGAAATTATGTGTGTATGTATAGACAGGATAGCTAACATAGTTGAACTACTGTCTTGTATTGCTTTACTGAAAGAAACAAGTTAATGATTACTTGCTTGATCATTAGTGCATATCTCTATTAGTTTTCCTGAGAAACCACCTTGAAGATATCAATATGTGATACAACAAGCATTGTTAATTTCCTACCACTTTGTTTGTAACTCTGTATTGTTTGTATTGTTCTTTTGCTATTTTGTAAATGTTTGTCTGTTTGTTTGTGTGTTTTCCTTCTTTTATTTTTTTTTTTTTAAATCTGGTATTTCTGATCATTATGGTTGTGTGTGTGTGTGTGTGTGTGTGTGTGTAGGTAGGTAGGCAGATAGAACATATTTTATACAACAGTTTGTTAGCTTGGTTTATAACTTCATTTTTTAGACACATGGTATGTGGGTCTCTGTATTGGAACTTTTTAAAAACGGGCCCACACATGTTTGGCCTGAGTCTGCTTCTCCTCGTCCCACAGGACAGAGGACAGCTCTGATTTGCGTCTGCCTCCTGTGAGCTATCTGGAGTGACCCAGGCGTGGGAACATCAGAACAGTTATTTATTTCTATTTTCCATTGCCCTCTCCAGATTCTCATTTTGCTCTGTTTTAATTATGTGTGTTTCTCCCAGATGCTTATTTTTGGTTTGAATGCATATAAATTCTTTTGCTTCTTAAAAATATTTACATATTTTTGAAGCCTAATATAATACATTAAAATGCATAATGCATGCAGGTCGCTAGATTTTTACCTCATCAGGAACAGAACATTATCAGCACCCCAGAAACCACCTCTGTGCTTCTTTCTAATAACTTTTATTTCCCAAAAGGTGATTATTATCCTAACTTTAAATAGCATAGATTGGTTTTACATTTTCAATACATTATAAAAACGGGATCATCTATATATAGTCTTTTGTGTCTGGCTTCTTTTGCTCTACATTGTATTTATAAGAATCATAATTTTGTTGCCTGTTTTTGTAATTTGTACACATGGAATTATACGTACTTTTTGTGTCCGGATTCTCTGTTAAAGTATTTTTGAGATCTAGCCACACTGTTATACATGTTAGAAATCCATTATATAAAAAAATGCATAAAATTTAAGGCTTAACACAACAGGAAAAGCCATTGCTCATCCCAAAGATTCTGTAGAGTGGAAATTTAGGAACTTAGCTGTGTTGTTCTGGCTCAGGGCCTGTCCTGAGTTTATAGTCAAGGTGGACATTGAGGCTGCAGATATCCAGAGGCATGCGTGGACTCACTGGGTGGCTGTTGGCTGGGAGCCTCAGTTACTTGTTGAATGCTTGGGGTGGGTCTCTTACAGGGTAACATGACACCTGGTTTTCCCAGAACAGCTGATCTAAGGGAGCCAGCAGGAGGAAACCACAGTGCCTTTTATGATCTAATGTTTGAAGTTGGAACTGCTGTTTCTGATTTTTGTAATTCACTAGAAGAAAGTCATTAAGTTCAACCAGTATCCAAAGGGAGGTGAATTAGGCTGTACATGTTGAAGGAATGTCAAGTAATCTAATGTACTGTTTTAATTTACTATATTAGATAAGTGAATTTTTTGAGGAGATTCTCCACTATTAAATCCAAATGTCAAATTTATTGGCATAATTAAAAATATATGGCACAGTTGAATTTTACCTACAGTGAATACCTATCATCTTCTGTCAATAGCATTTTACTGAGTTTACTTTTTAATTCATGAATCTATCTACCCATCCCTTCCTCCACCTACCAATCTTTTTAAAAGATGCATTTCAGGGCTGGGGATATAGCTCAGTGGCATAAGTGCCTTCTGGCAAGTGCAAGGTTGTGAGTTTGATCCCCGGTACTGCAAAAAAAAAAAAAAAAAAAAGATGCATTTCAAAGTAAGCCACAGACATTAATATTCTTCTCCCTAAATACTTTAGCATGCACCTCATTAATTATACTGTAGCTCAATATGTATTGAATTTTTTCCCTTAGAGGTGAAATTTACATAAATTCCGCTACACAAAGTTTAAATGTGTACACATGGAGTCTGACAAATGCATACACTTGTGTAATCCATACACCATTAAGGTTAGAATATTATCATTCCAGAAAATTACATTCAGTTCTTTTTTTTTTTTTTTGGTTTTTCTCCAGTACCGGGAACTGAACTCACGACCTTGCACTTGCCAGGCAGGCGCTTTTGCCGCTGAGCTAAATCCCCAGCCCCACATTCAGTTCTTCTTTTTTGGACATATTGATTTTCTGGTGAAAATCTCCATACTTTCATCTAATTCACCCATCTTTTACTTTCTTACTCATTAATCAAAGTTCTTCTAAAATTCCTATCACTAACTCCATAATGTAGGAAATTTATGTATCTTTTCTGCTGTCTGCTTTTTGTCTTCATTATTGGTCATTGCTATAGTTTGTATCTGGACTATATCTCTCAAAGTCCAATGTGTTCAAAGTCTTGGTCCCCAGCCTTGAGCTATTAAGAGGTTGTAGAAACTTTAAAGCAGGGCCCTAGCATAATCGTAGCTACTCTGGAGGCTGAGGCAGGAGGATTGCAAAATTTAAGCCTGCCCTGGGCAACTTAATAAGACCTTATCTCAAAATAAGAATTATAAAGGGTTGGTGATACAGCTAGGGACTCCCTCGCATCAATCTCCAGTAAGTATCACAAAG